TTCTTGGAGGAACTCACATACACATAGCTGACCTGACTAGTACTTCAGATCTCAGACTGCTCTTCCACAGCCTTCTGTAAGGTTCTTTATTCTGCAAAAGAAAAACAAAAAAACAAAATACAAAAAACATAAAAAAAAATTTAAAAAACACAAAAAAATACAAAAAAGCAAAAACAAAACAAAAAAAAAACAGAAAACAACAAACAACAAAAAAGAATTCAACCACAAAATAGTGACTGTTATTTCAGTGTGTCCTTCACGTGAAAGCTATTAAGGACCAAACCTACTACTGTGTGTAAGAAGAAATTACTTCCTAAACAGTAACTGAAAATAGTTAGTTCAACTTGCTGTGGATTTTGTCTTGGCAGTTGTCATCTTACATTATTTGTCAAAGGAAATGTGTTTGGCAGTTAAAAATCTTTCCTTAGATTTAGTGGTGGACTTTAACCTCTTAAATAAATGTTAGTATATCAGATTGTGTCCTTGAAAAATATTTTACTTGTATGAATCATGACAATGTCTAAATCTTTACTCTTCTTCTGGCAAAAGCATCGGTAAGAAAGAGGGTGAAAAGAGAAGTATAGCCTTTACGTCAGAAAAATATTCTTTTTAGCTGCTTACTTTCTCATGAACAGTAAAGATGTTTACAGTGTATGCCAAGATTTTCAGTTTCTATATAACAACAGTTAGAGGTTCTAATCATACTGAAAATTGTGTTATAATGGCCTGAGCCATGTTGCTAGGAAACAATAGGTTCCAATTTTGTATTCCTGCTCTCACTCCTGTGCTGAAAAGTGACTGGATACTGTACAGGTTCATGTTCTCTGGCTGCGGTTAAATGGTCTTTTGCATTTTGCTCTGGCTTTCAGGCCAGAAGCATGCATTTTTCTACAAGAGCATCACAACAACATGCTGTAAATATTTAAAGTTCAACATTACGTGTCGATATTTGAAAGAAAAAAGTACTTTGAATATTTCATTTTTAAAAAATAAAATTGCAAATGAACACTGTGTCCCATTTTATTCATGCGCCGAACTGCATTCTGGAGTCTGTCTGGTCACCTGAGAATTGAAAAGTAGCTCCCTAACAGGGAACAATAAAACCACATCATCTTGAAAATGAAGGTGCAGAAATCCAAAAGGCACTAATCCTAAACAGATGTCTCTTCATTTTTATTTTTCGTACAAATAGGATCTCTGACACAAATGACCATTTAATAAAAAAAGAAGAGTAGCTGTTCCAAGTTTAAAAGCCTCTAAGCTATTACTTTAAAAAAAAAAAAAGGTTTCTTTCTCTTGTGGATGCCTTTCTGAGCAATGGAAAGAAAATGAAGAATTGCAAAACGGGTGGGGAGAACAAAGCACGCAGGTGCATTGACATAAAAGCCAATGGGGGAGAGAGGCAGTCAGGAAACACTAAAAAACAACAGCTCGCGGGTCCTGGGAGATCCCAATGGCTGTTTGGCACTTATTTTTCACATGAAGGTATTTATGAGTGACACTGGGAAAGCAGGCCAATAGATCTTGCAAAATTCAACTTGATAGTAATGAGGCACCCATAGTCCAAACAACCTGTTTGTTTCTGAAACTTGCTGGGAATCCTGGAATTTACATCATGCTTAAAAACCCCGCTGCCTTTTTATTCAGTGATATATACAGTAGTCTCCCCTTATCTGCAGTTTCGCTTTTCAGGGTTTCAGCCACTCACAGTCCCGCAGTCAGCCACAGTCCAGAGGCAGGTGTCCTCCTCCTGACGTTGTCAGAAGGTTAAGAGTGGCCTAATGCTGTCACAGTGCGTGCGCCAACCCCTCACTTCCTCCCATCACACAGGCATTTTATCACCTCACATCATTGCAAGAAGGGTGAGCGCAGTACAGTAAGCTATTTTAAAAAAGACTGAGACCACATTTGTGTACCTTTATTACAGTATATTGTTTAAATTGTTGTATATTCTTATTAGTTATTGATGTTAATCTCTTGCTATGCCTAATTTATAAATTAAACTTTGTTCACAGATACATACCTATAAAAAAAAACATCGTATATATAAGATGTGGTACTATCCACATAGTGGGCCTACTGGGACAGATAGAGTGAAAAGATTCGTGAAGCAGAAGACAATCCCAATTGCTCCAACACAACCAATCAGCAAAAGGCAATGGGGTCCTCAGGGGAGGTGGGTGGAAGTGTTAGTATCACCTGGTAATTTAAAAAAAAAATACCCACCCCACCCCACCCTCAGTGTGCAGAAAGAAAGAGGCAAGAGCTCCTCCACTGAGAGAATTATTAAACAAGAGAAGAGATTTCTCCATATTTCTTCTCTATTCACCCTCACTATTAGAGGTCTTTGAATTTAAATGTTTAGCAATACTACTTCCTTAAATTTATATAATTCTAGCACCTCAGTAATCCTGGGAGGTGAGCAAGACTTCATTATTCCTACTTAGCAAATGCAATAATAGTAACAGATTGACTTACCTAAGGTCACACGGATAATCTGACAAAGCTGAAAAAATTCAAATATCAAATGTTATGTTGATGGGCTCTCTCCAGTCAATCGCTTTTGTTATATCTTTGTACATAAAAATATTCATTTAAGAGGCCAATGACCTAATGATGACAATTCTGCCTCTTACCACAAGTTTGGCCAATGACCCCAGACTATGAAATTTCCCAAACTAGGTAGTTTAACTTCACCCCTAGCTGCAAACTCTAAAATAATGTATCCCATATACTGTGAGGACTAACATAGGCGACAATGTTGAATTTAAGCTGTCTAACAGGAGGAACACTAGGCATCTTGTAACCTTGAAATGCTCAAGGGCAAATCTGGATTTTATTATTTTTTTTAAAGATTTTATTTATTTATTTGACAGAGAGATCACAAGTACGCAGAGAGGCAGGCAGAGAGAGAGGAGGAAGCAGGCTCCCTGCCAAGCAGAGAGCCCGATGCGGGGCTCAATCCCAGGACCCTGAGATCATGACCTGAGCCGAAGGCAGAGGCTTAACCCACTGAGCCACCCAGGTGCCCCTGGATTTTATTATTAATAGATTCTGGATTCTGAACTCAATAAAGTGACTCAAATAAAACATGAGCTGATGTCTAAACCCTCTTAACAGATTTTAAAACTATTTCTCACATTTTTAATTCTCTATCCGTTCTACCACAAATAATATCTTCAATTCAGCCCTCCATTTATACTAGGAAGCTTAATCAGAGGCATCCTCTGTAGACTTATTCTACCTGTGTACTACCACAAAGCTTACTTGCTTGTAATAGCCAAACTGACAATTACCTAAGCTTGTCTCCCTTCCTGACCTTATCTCTTAAGAACAAACTCAGAGGAAATGAATGAGTGTTTGATAAACTGTCATGTTCTTTGTGGGCTTGCTGACACACTTTTTTTTTCTGAAGAAAGGTGTACACTTGGAAATATATGTGCATTTTTCTATCTTGACTCAGCATCTTACGGATATATGTTAGCATGGCAATATTTTAGATATGGCAAGGATATGACCTTTCTGTAAAGCCGCAAGCTATTATGTACTGGAAAATAACAAGAATGCTTATGCTGGGAGAGAAAAAGTGAAAAAAACTTTATGACTAAAAGGCCAGCAGAAGAAGACAGTGGATAGGCACATCAACTGGAAAGTTTGACAGTAGCAGACTCAGAAAAGAACTTACCTTTTTCAAGGAACCTGTCCAATAAGATCAAATGGCTTTCACCAATGCTTTGTTTAATATATTAATAGCACTTATCTCTGAATATTTTTAAAAAATATTTTAAGAGAAATTAGGAAAATAAAGCTTTCAAACACTTTATTGAAATATGAAAGATCATTAATGATTCAAAAAAGCTTTTCCAAAAAAGACTCTGGTAAAGAACCATGCAAACATAATTCATATATTTGGGATTATTACAGAATGAACAAGTTAGAGAGAGTGAAAATTATTTACACCTATTAAAATTTAAACCCAAGCTACAAAAAAGGAAAAATTATCTAAATATATGCATTTTGTTTTGAAAGTTGGCTTTCTGAATTCCTTTACAAGCTAAAGTAATGCCTTTTTTTCTAGAAATGGTAAAAGGCCCATAATACATTATTATAGCCCAACTCCACCTCTGCACTCCCACTGCAACCATCTTAAATACTCAGACACCAGATCTTGCCAGTGCACGGAGAGTAGCTCTGTCTCTCGGCAGTTCATCAAGCTCACCCCCACTCGTGCACAACCCAGAATGCCAATGTATTAGTTTACAATAGAACTTAGCATTTTCCTCCAGACCACGGACCAGAGTATTTGTGTTGACTCATTCTGCCTCTAACAACAGATCCACCTTCCCAGTGAGAACCTCATTTAGCATGTGCTTATCCCCTTTAATGGACATCTTTTGCTCTTTTTCGTGTTACTTTTTTTTTAAATTGTTACTGTTTTATTGTCCAACTAGAGAGCAGAGCTGCCTGAGCCCAGGGTGCTGGGTGTTTTTACTTCTCTACCCCAGTGCCTACTGTGTTTGTTGAATTCTAGGAGCCCTGAAACAACTTGATGTATAATCAAATCACAAAAGTCGTAAGGATATACATGTGATAAAAAATTTATAAATTATCTGTCACTGTGTAAAATCTTGGCTCTCACTTAGGTTGTCATCACTTGGAACTAACTGTTAATAAACAACACAACTGTAAGGTTTTCAGGGCTCCCATAAGGCTACCTCATCGGGAGATCACTTGTAAATCAGCTACTCGTGAGCACAGCTGCTGAAGTTTCCTTTCAAAATAAGGTTTTACACGGAGTACCAACAACTGGGGTAGAGGTAGATGAAAAATCCTGTAATATCAAATGTAATCAACATTTAGAGCATATTTTAAATTACGGGATTTTTAAACTCCAGACTGGTCTGTGGATTCTGCTATCCAACATCAGAACACTAGGCAAAAAAGTTGCATTTAAAATTAAACAGAAATTCTTCCTTCTTTATCCAGTACTTTTTTTTTTTAACACACAGCGCACAACTTCATAACTCCTCAAACACCCTACAACTCCATAGCCAGTGGAGAGCGTGATACTTAATTAGAACCACACATGACAAAGACGAGGGACGAGAAACCAGCTTCCTGCCATCTAATCAAGAAAGACATTTTAAAATCAGTAGCTGTCGAATAATATTTCACTAAAAAATGATGCTTTTGAGAAAAAACAGGATTTTTTAAATTTCTATTTGGCAAGGATTGATATTAATCTTTTATAAAGTATCATTATGCTTTAAATCATTTCCTATTTGTAAATAATACTGAAAATAACCTTATTTCAAAGCTCCACATTATCGGCAAAGTCCATTTCAGCTTTTACATCACACTAGATACTTGCATTACAGGACTATGATGGTTTTAGAAATACATTTGTAGCTCACTGAACTGTATTATCTACAATATATAAGACTTAGCATATATTTAAATTATAGAAAATAAAGTACAAGGTATTTGATTTTTCTTCATGGTGCTTTCAGGAAGACATCAGGATCTTCTCTTCTCCCTAAAGAAAAATAATAATGAAAATCAAGAAAAAAATAAATTTACAGGCTATTAAAATTACAGGTTAACTGGAACTTATAATCATAAAATTTCCAATGGCATAAAGCTCACAAAGATATAACCCAGTGATATAGCTCAAGCAACCAGTACTTAAAACTGAATTGTAAAGAATGGAATATGGAGCAGGAAAGAACAGTTTGTAATTGTGATGTGTAATTTGTAAACTGGAGATCTATTTACATCTCTATTATAAAAGCTAACTACTCATTAATTTAATTCAGCACTTAAGTCTAATTGTCAGTTTATGCCTGAGCCTGGGTCCCTGTCAAAAAAGGACATAACATCTCATTTTTCTAATCATAAATATTTATTGTTTCAATCTAGGCATATCCTCTTACTCCAACCAAGTGATTAACCCGTTTCAGGAGATGAATAGACAATCACATATCTGCAAACGTTGACCAGTAATCTGTCGTCCCCTTGATACATACACTAATATAGCTTTGCTCAGGAGATGTTAACAACGCATGCCTGTAGCATGACAACGTGTACTAATTTAGTTTCCTTCGCTACAATAAAATGTCATTAATTCAAGCACCACAAATTCAAAAATGACGATCACGTGGGCCACTCTAACACTAGGCTTTCCATCCCCGAAGGGAAAATACAGTTTACTAAGCAAAGGTGAAGGACAGCCCAGGTGTTTTCGGAACTGTATAAGTCCCATCTTTCAAGCGTTTTGTGTCTGAGTTAGTGAAGTGAAATGGTACTTCTGTTTTGGCAAAAGGGACAGTGGAGACCAAGATGGGAAAAGAAGGGTTTAAATGTGGGCTCATCGAATTCTTTATATTTTCCCGGAGTTTTATTGAAAGTTTACAATAGAGCAGATTGAAATCATAGCGTGTGCATAGTTCCCTCTTGCTCCATTGGCTGGTAACACCTACTTCCCCACTGCATGTTTCCTACAGAACTTCCCATAAACATGTATTTATGAACAGGTTGACTCATAACCCTGAGCTGCCGAGCCCTGTAGAAAAGTAACAGTAAACCATACCTGTAGCACCTTGTGCACTTCTAAGTGAACACTTCTTCTCAACTGGATACTGCAGAGGTATTACAATACCTTGATCTGGCTTCTGAAATGCTGAAATGAGATTTTTTATTTTCCGGAAAAATCTTTTATGAACCCCAGGAGCCGTCTGGAAAATAAAAGGCCAAGCAAATTATTCACCTACCTCCTAATGATACAAAGAGGCCTACAAAATGTGGGTGGGGGGGGAGGCTTAGAGAGGTAACATGTGTGTAACTTGTTCAAATATTTGAAAACATAAGGAAGAAGGAAAAACAACATTTCTAGAAGAGCTTACTTTGGTTGGCTGAATTTCCCTGCAAGAGGAGCTAATGAGCTGTCATTTCAGTTCTCCCAAGGGTAGTATTAGTTTGTACAAGCTCTTGCTCCTCACCCAGCCCTTCCTGCCTGCTACCCATCACACATCCCGAGCCTCTAAGGGTATACAGGCCATTACCCACAATGAATGTACCAACAGAGACGATGCAGTTAAACATAGAAGAAAACACAGATCATATAGGTCATTAATAAAAAGCCTGAAAAACCAAACCAACAACAACAACCCAGCCTCCCAGTCATCATTCCACAGTAAAAATGCTACACAGGAAATTAAAAATTGACCGTTACGATACACACAACACATAGCTAGGTAGTCCTCCAACTCTCACCTCACGATGCATCCTGCCTCATCCTTCATGTTAAATTTTTTCCTCCTCGGGGAAAGTTCCCTATCCTCCCCAAAATTGCTCTCTGCCAACTCCTCACCATGACAAGGTTTTCTCTATGATGTGAAAATGAAAGACTATATAAGGTCACCTTTATTTATTTGTTTGCTTTTGAAGAGATCGTTATTTGCAAGTGACTATTAAAATGTGTTCCTTTCCTGACATCAATTCTCTTGCGAAGGCACTGCTGAAAACAACAATTTCCTGCAAAAGCTTATGAGCCCAGCTTTAGGCATCAGCTCAAAACTGTCATTTTACATAAAATAAAATAGTATTGCTATAAGCAATTGAACAATGACTAGTTTTGTTGTTGTTGTTGTTGTTATTGTTGTTGAAAGCTGTTTTTCAGCTATTCCATCTGGAAGATTTTTGAGGAGGGAGCTGTTTGTTAGCATTTCATAAGAAAACATGAAAAAGCTCTTTTTAGCTTTAAATTAGTGTCCTCTCAGAGGTTCACACAGCTCGGAGCCTCTGTAGATGTAGAACACTCTCCCTCTCAGCTCCACCCCTATGGTCAACACACCTTCCCAGAACTGGGGGCACCTGGGTGGCTCAGTCAGTTGAATGGCCAACTCTTGGTTTCGGCTCAGGTCACAGTCTCAGGGCCCTGGGATCGAGCCCTGCATAGTGCCCTGCATTGGGCTCCGTGCTCAGCAAGAACTCAGCTTGAGAGTCTCTCTTTCCCTCTCCCTCTTCCCCTCCCCACACCCTTCTAAAAGAAGTAAACAAAGACAGAAAAAACACCTTCCCAGAACTCGACTTGAGACCTCATCCAAAATACCATGGCCGTTCTTAGAGAGCCCCAAACAGTTCTTTGGCTCCAAGACCGAATCTCTAAATTGCATGGTAGGTCAGAAGCACAAAATACCTCCTTGTATCTTCCTCACAGCACTTTTTCAGTTCCAGGCACTTTCCCATCATTTGCCTCCACTATTTCCTCACAAATCGGCAGTGAGTGGCTGATTTGCTTGTTCCCATTTGACAGATAAGAAAAGGAAAATACAAGGGTGCCTGGGTGGCTCAGTTAGTTGAGAAATACAAAGGGATAGTTCAGCTTGCCCGAGGTCACACAGATATCCAGAAGCAGAACTGGCTCTAGATCCCAGCACCCAGTCTTCTGTCTTTCAGGCCAATACCCGCAACGAGTTCACCAACAGAGAGGGTAAGACCAAATAGTTTCTAGAGAAGTTAGAGTCACCAACCAGAAAAGAAACTGTACACTCCCCCAGTGTGGAAAGATTTCAAACCACACATCTTTTTAGCTGTTCTTGTGGCTTGTAAAACCATTTATCAACAGAAGCATCTTTTTATGGGGACTTACATGCAGTTAACACTTGATTATCCACACTAACAGAAAGGAATAATAGCACTGGATGTACAGTTTGAACATGGGATGCAATGTGTCGCTGGCAAATGACTTTTCTAAATGATAGTGTTTTGCTTAGGTTAATAAGTAAAATTATTTAGCACCTACTGATCTACTGATGATCAAATATCCAGAAAAGCCCAAAGGCACTGAAGTCCACAGGGAGAGGTTAGATTTTTTTTTTACAAGATACTGATGACAATGCATGTATTAATAAATCATAGTTGACTATGTGTAGAATTCTCTAAATCAACAATTTAGCAAAATTTTAGCCTGAGTCTCATGAGATAAGTTAATACACTAGGCAATGATAAAACCTAAAAGTCTATCTAAAAGTAGAAATTCACATAATATTTGTCTTTCATAATTTGGGGATCCAGAGTTCAAATTTTATTCCACTCTTTGAAACAAATCTCTATTTCTAGCACAATCCCTGCACAGAAAATGGAGTGTTGCTGCCATGATTTTTCCTGCATTGTGGCAAACTAAAGCATTGTTCCAAAAAGCAGTATAAATATCTGTCATTTAACCAATTTTGAAAATACATTTACCACAAGAATTATACCACTGACAACTCCCATTCTGTCACTGAACTCAGCTATTGTTCGAATTTGCACATATCCCATACTGCCACCTCTTAGTTATCCATGGAAACATGTTTTGGATCACAGCTGGTCTTCAATATGCTCTGGAGAAATTTCTTCCAGTCAGGTGATATGAGCTCTGAGCACACACACTAGTTTAATATTCCCTTTGCAAAAACATAACTAAGAAAGCAAATTTAGTAGATAGAAAAAAATGCAATATGCATTTCAAAAATAAATCTAAAGCATTTTTTTTAAACTGTTTTCCCTTTGGAGAAAACATGCCAATCTTCTGCTCTCTTGGTGCAGATAATTACAATATTATTGTATAAACGAGGTTAGACCAGACAACAGGATGAAAGGACATTTATGTTCAATAAGCCCTTTCTTCCTTAACATGATCACAAGCATGTAAGAATCCACGTATAATGTTATACTTAGAAGAAAACAAATTTAAAGGCAAAATTAGCTAAACCCTAATAATTTAAGAACCTTTCCATAAAGAATATTCTTCAGCAGCTGAAGGCTACTTCTCTAGGGAGAAGGGCTATTTCTAATCAAAGTATATGCAAATATATATGTATATATCACACACAACTGTTCTTCATGATAAATGAAATTTAATTTCTTATCCAATCCGCTCAGCAGTGCTGCAGAGAATTTTAAAATATAAATGGGTATAAATCATTTTGATTAGAAATGTTATGGCTTTGCCTCTAATTAGTATTACAGTATTAATTATCGCAGATAATTATAAATTAATTATTAATTATTATTAATTATTATTAATGAATTATTTATTTATGATATAAAGCAACAACATGTTTCAAAACTTGCCCTAATTCTTCTCTGTAGTTCAAAACATTTGTAGTCTGCAACTTGGGCTTTCTAGTTTACTGATGAATTTGTAAAGGTTAGAGCTATTTTAATTTTTTTTAAGTCTAGGCTTTAGAATTTCTTAAGCGTATAAATTGAGTTATTAACAGAGGTTGATATTCACATTTATGTTTTCAAACAGCTCATAATAAAGTGCTTTCATCATAAAGACAGTCTGTTTTTAAAGACTCAGAAATCCGAGAAAGCATTTGAGGTCAAAGGTTTCAGTTGTAGAGACCTCTACATTGGTAAGATGTGATATCCTAGCCTGGTACATGGACATACATTCACTCTGCAGGCATTACGTGCAATGGTATGGTGACTTTCAAATGTTTTCAAAGCCATCATTTTTTTTTAATTTTTCTAATGAATTTTTCTAATGAATTCTTATTCGAGCCCCAGTTGATAAGCAAAACAAAAGCAAACCGTTCAGATCAAAGATGAATTGGGCACCCAAAAGCATACACACATTTGTCCTCCTCTCCCTCTGCTCCCCAACCCCCGCCACCCCATGGCACCCAGGTGGAAGAACCTTGGAATTTTGCAGAGCATACCTTTAAACCCACTGCGATGTTCCCTCTAATTTTATTCTGCCTGCCCGTGTCCTTTCCACATGGCCCAGCTGGGAGTCTTACCTCCACACAAAGAGCAATCTTGATTACTAATCCTTGGAAAATCCTCCCTTCTTTGAGCTCCTATGCTAGATAATATAGCAATTGACCATATACAATCATATTGTCCGCAGTTTGGGTGAGCTCACATTTTTGAGGGCTTTCTATGTACCAGGTCCCATGGCTAAGAGCTTTCTTTTATATGCATTATCCCATTTAATCTTCAAAATGAGACCTATGAGTAAGGCACTATTTTTAGGCTCATTTTACAGATGAAGAAATTTGTTCAAAGAAGAGCTAAGTAACCTGCTCAAGGTCATAGGTGAGGAGGAGAGGGGACCAGACCTGGAACCCAGATCTACCTGACAACAAACTCTGAGCTCTCACATCACTCTTTAATTCATATCGTATCTCCCCAAGTGTTTTAGAGGCTCTTAGAAAACAAGAGTCATGTTTTTTAATCCACCATAGAACCAGTTTTCATATTGGTACCATTCGGTAAATAATTGCTTATTTAACCATTTTACACATTTTGTATATGCTTTTTAAAATTTTGCATAGGCACTAAAAGTTTGACACAATGCTTCAATTTTTTTTATATTTTCTCCAAAGTGAGATCATTCTATACAATGGTGGCTGAACAGAACTGGGACAAAAATTCTCTAAAGCCTTTTTAATGATCCATGAACAATTCTGGGTTGGAGCTTTAGTGATTTGAATCTGATGAATACTGGGGGAATGTAGGATTTGACAACTCTTTTAAAAAACCAGGCTAAATTTAAAACACCTCTCTGATACCCCCAGAAGCAAAAAATAAATAAAAGAGCTATACCTCAGCACTCCAAGAACCTGTTTCTGTCTGGGACACTCGGTATGTATAAATGTAACCTTGATACCTGTGAAAGAATAAACTTCAGTTACTGAAACATTCCAAAAGATTGACAGATGCTCTAAATTTGAGCCTGACTATTCCACATAAATGTTACATATACAGGGACACACATATAAGGCGCCATTGCATTCATAGGAAGAAAAGCATGGGAGATCGAACTTGCTTGCATATTATATCTGGCTAATCACAGTTTTTAGAGAGCCTTCTTTATCTTTTCCCTTTTTTAAAATATGGGAGTTCACACTCTTAAGGATTTGTCTAGTTGAGAGACTGGATAGAAAGAAGCTAGAGACCTGCTATAATTAGTAAAAACCATGGATTATTAAATAGGTTGAAGGAAGTATAGTCTTATTTTTTAAAGATTTTATTTATTTGAGAGAGAGTGCACATGCAGGAGGAATGGCAGGCAGAGGGAGATCAGGCTTCCCGCAGAGCAGAGAGCCTGACTTGGGGCTCCATTCTGAGAACCTGGCATCATGACCTGACCAGAAGGCAGACACTTAACCGATTGAGCCACCAAGGTGTCCCCAAAGTGTAGTCATACTACCTTTAAGTACATATAGAGCCTTAAGGTGAAAAATATTTCACTGGGATAATGTACTATCAGGTCCACTTAAGAGTAATAATAATATAAATTATAAATATAATAAATATAATACTATATTTCTATAGTATTACTACTGTGGTTACTTTACAATATAATATAGTAATAATAGAAATTTGAATTAGAAAAGACTCCTGGGGCACCTCGGTGGTTCAGTCGGTTAAACATTCGACTCTTGGATTCAGTTCAGGTCATGATCTTGGTGTCATGGGATCAAGTCTCCGTACAGCTCCCCACTCAACACAGAATGTGCTTGTTCCTCTCCCTCTGTTCCTTCCTCCGCTTGCTCTCTTTCTCTCTTACTCTCTCAAAAATTAATAAATAAAATTTTTAAAAAGACTCCCGCTAAGCTTTGCACAGTGGCAGTATCATAGCCAATGAGGTTTATCCGAGGCGCAATTATTGCTAATTGAAAAAGACTCCAGCTAAAGTACTTGAAAGCAGCTTGTCCTTTGGGGTAAGCATTCTCCACCATCATGCAGTGTATAAGCATACTGTACAACTATAATTTATGCCACGAGTTATAGATGCTGTATTAGTTTGCTTTGGCTGCCACAGCAAAATACCATAGGCTGGGTGGCTTAAACAAAGTTTATTTTCTCACAGTTCTGGAGGCTGTAAGTCCAAGATCAAGGTGCTAGCAACATAGCTTTCACTCTTGGCTCATAGGCAGCTACTTCCTTGCTGTGTGCTCACGTGACTTTTCCTTGTGTGTGCATGTAGAGAGACATGTCTCTCTTCTTAGAAGGCCACCAATCCTAGGATTAGAGCCCCACCCTTACAGCCTCATTTAACCTAAATATATTCCAAAGGCCTGTCTCCAAATACAGCCACAGTGCGGGTTAGAGCTTCAACGTAATGAATTTGATGGGTACACAATTCAGTCCACAGCACATGCATTATCACTTTCGGACCCCACAACAATCCTATGAGCTTTATACTGTGAAATTAATCTTATCGATGAGGACACTAAGACTTTGAGAATCTAAGTAACGGAAACCACACTACTGATCCAGCAACAAAGATGGGATTTGAATCAGGCCTATTTAACTCTAGATCCCTAGCTCTTGGTCCCATATGGTAATGGATATAGATTATAATCTGTCTAACAAATTTTACTTCATAGAAAAGTAGGGTAAACTTTGTTCTGAATTATTTCAAATTATGAGTAGGAATATGGATCAGATCCTCTGGATCAAGAGTTTTATTTTAAACATTTTCTGATTGTTGTTCTTAGACACAGGTTTAAGTCAATATAAATCTTTGGTTAGAATATATTCTAGCCATCAAAAGAAATGAAATTTTGCCATTTGCGACGATGTGGATGGAACTAGAGGGTATCATGCTTAGCGAAATAAGTCAACCAGAGAAAGACAACTATCATATGACCTCCCTGATATGAGGAAGTGGAGATGCAACGTGGGGGGTTAAGGGGGTAGGAGAAGAATAAATGAAACAAGATGGGATCGGGAGGGAGACAAACCATAAGAAACTCTTAATCTCACAAAACAAACTGAGGGTTGCTGGGGGAGGGGGGTCGGCAGAGGGTGGTGGGGTTATGGACACTGGGGAGGGTATGTGCTATGGTGAGTGCTGTGAAGTGTGTAAACCTGGCGATTCACAGACCTGTACCCCTGGGGCTAATAATACATTATATGTTTATTAAAAAAAATTTAAAAATTTATTAAAAAAAAAAGAATACATGCTAAACTTTGGTAAAAATAAATGTATTCAGGGCTGCCTGGGTGGCTCAGTGGGTTAAGCCTCTGCCTTCGGCTCAGATCATGATCTCAGGGTCCTGGGATCGAGTCCCACATCGGGCTCTCTGCTAGGCAGGGAGCCTGCTTCCTCCTCCCTCTCTCTCTCGCTCTCTCTGCCTGCCTCCCTGCCTACTTGTGATCTCTCTCTGTCAAATAAATAAAATCTTAAAAAAAATGTATTCAAACTTTGAAGAACAGATGACTCTAAAGCATTCTAAACAGAGAGTCATCCTCAAGTAATCGACTTCACTTACCATCAATTCCCTTTAGAACTAAAAGTCTTTAAGGGGCACCTAGGTGGTTCAGTCAGTTGGGTGTCCACCTCTCAGTTGCAACTCATGTCATGATCTTGTCCTGGGATTGAGCCCTGTGTTTGGCTCTGTGCTCAATGGGGAGTCGGCTGGAGATTTTCTCTCTCTCTCCCTCTGCCCCTGCTTGCTCTCTCTCACAAATGAATAAATAAATCTTTTAAAAAATGTGGATTAAATTACTATATTTTTAATCAAAATACATCAGTAGTGATTACCTAAAGAGCAAAAAAAAAAATACATCTAAAATACTGCAATCAGGTTCATTCAATTTGTGAAACCAAAAATATTCAATTTAATTGCTGGTGTGATTATAGGAAATATTTCATTTTTGTTATGAGCGTTTGCCAGCATATTTAGATCATACATAAAATAGCTTGATACATGCATATATATGATATGTTAAGTAAATATATAATGTTACGTTGTTAAAGTTTTTTTTTTTTTTTAAGCAATAAAATCTACCTCAAAGCCCACTGGTTACAGTAAGTACTCTACAGGAAACAAGGCGAGGGCTTTGATTTCCATTTTTCACCATGGGAACTTGAAACATAAGGCTTTAAGTGATTTTCTTAGTCACATAGCAAGATGGAGATAGAAGCAGAGAAATAGCATAGTTCCTTGGTTCCAATTTCCCGATGGGAAGCGATCAATGGCAGTAATTCAGTATCATTAGAGGTGATGTGGAAATGCATTATTTAAAATCTCAGCGACGAGGCAAGCAAAACCGTAAGCAGCCAGTTTTCACTTTCTGAAACAGCGAATCTCTAAAAAATACAAAGAATCTCTCTCCCTACTATCATTCAGCCTCATTTAGTCAAAATAAATGAGTCTGTTTTGAAAATTGTTTCCTAACGAATCTGATCTTATCTCACTTTCAGTTAAGCAGCAGGAACCTGAGTACCACTTCAAAAGCCCTTACCTCCTTCAGTCTCTAACAACCTGGTGTCAGTGGCAACTAAAACTTCTCGTGATTAACCCATCTAATATTAACAATTTCCTACTCCCCCGCCCCTCAGATTTCTGAATGAGCAGAATTGCTTCACCCCACAAATAAGCCAGTAGTTCATCTCTTCCACTTTCAAGTCACAAAGTAACTGACCGAGAATCCCCTGTACTCAACCCTCATTACCCTATGGTCATGGATGGAGGAGATCTAAAACGCGGCCATCCAAATTACATTGCCAGGGTAATAACATCAGCATCACCTGGGAACTTGTTAGAAATGCAGGGTCTCGGGCCTTGCCCCAGAATTGCTGAATCAGAATCTGTATTTTAACAAGATCTCCAGGTGATTTGTAAGAACGTTAAAGTTACAGGTAAACTGATTAAAATGCAGAGAGAATGCCCACACCTTTCTGGGATTCTTGATGGCAATTTCTGCAAAGTCAAGCTGGTTTCTTGCACTCACCTAGGGCACTTCTGCACCACCTCCTCCTTAGTCACTCAGTCTCTGCTTTCGGAATTAAGAGTACACTTATCATAAGGAGCACTGAGTCATGTATAGAACTGTTGAATCATTATACTGTACACCTGAAACTGATATAACCCTGTATCTTAACTATACTTTAGTAAAAATGTTTTAAATTTCAAAATAAAAGTTTTTTTAAAAATAAATAAATACAAGCTGAAGCTTTTCAGTTGTTTCTGTCTTCATTGAGTAGTGTTTCTGTACCATGCACTTCCTCTTCTCCAACAAAATTTCATGGTTTTGTTTTCTGTAGCTTGAGTTATGAAATAATTTTAAAATATAAAATTAAACTAAAATATTGATAATGTTTTTTCAAACTACATATACTCTCTCCTCATCCACTGAAAAACCAGTTCTAGGAAATAAATTGGAAATAAAGTTATAAAAAGAGCTATAATACCGTGCATATTTTTGACTTAATGAATGACCTTGCTTATCTTCTTACACTCCAAGGAATCAAAGGACAAATTAATTTCATAAAGATTTTCATAGTAGTTCTATTTTAAGGGTGGGAAAAAAAAGAGAATCAACCTACGTACCCCTAAATAAGGAATGTTATGCAAAATAAGAAAATAGTAACAGAAAGAACCATGCAAAATTATACTGAAGTGCAAAGGTATTAGAGTTCTCTTATATTTTTCAAAAAATGTTAACATCATGGGTTATGTTAATATAAAATTATGGCACATGAAAGAAGTGGACACACGGAGACACCCCCTGATTACAACTATTCAGAACCATACCTATATGTATATTAACTAGAAGCAAATTTAAACTAATATAAATTCATCCTTGCATATTAATTTTTCTTATAAAGTTATAAAAGTATATGTTATAAAGTTATATAAGTATATATGTAAT